TAATTGAATATTGAATAAACCGGTGATAGCGTTGTACCTTGTGAATCATCACATTTTATTATTTCTTCATTAGATAAACAATTATTTGAATTATTTATTTTCGCCAATTGTTTCCTATTTTCAAAATAAGAACCAATTAGAGGAATAAAGTAGAATCGGTTATACCTATTACTTACATTTTATATAAAAGTTTATTATGGTTTACGATATTAAAGGCTTTAGTAAGATTTAAATAGATAGTCGCACACTTTTTATTTTTCCTAGAGCAATGTAGATCATTTGTGTCACATTAACAATTAATTTGGTCAGTGTTTTATTAGGTTTAAAGCCAAATTGATTTAAAAAAAATATATTGTTCGATTTCAAATTAAATATCAACCTTGTTTTCATGATTATTTCAAATGTTTTCGCCATGTTTGAGATAACCAATATAGGGCGAAAATTATTAAAAGAAGAGATAAGGCCTTTTTTATGTATAAGTTTTATTAGTGTTACTATAAATATATCGGATACTTTATTTTCAGATAAACATAAGTTAAAAATGTGACATAGTGGCTTACATAGTATTATCGGCTAAGATCAAAGTGTAGTATTATATTATATATATTTTTTTTATAAATCGGAAGATATATTGTCGATACCGGTAGATGAACCATTATTTAATTTAGAAGTGGTTTCCATGATATCATAAGTTGTTATGGGTTCAAATTTCATTAAAGATAATATCTTATTTAATAATGGTATATTAGTATGATTATTGAGAGTTACTAATAGAACTATTAGTTTTATTGCGATTTTGTAATTGTACTATTAAGTCGGAGGCCACGTTTATAAAATAGTAATTAAATTGATTTTTTTTTAAATATATGCTGGTTCGCATTCATTAAGTACAGCTGTTAGAACGATACAAAGAAAAGAAAGAAAAAGAAAACACTCTGAGTTTTAAAGTTTAACTATATTATAACAAAACAAAAGGTGCGGAAGAAGCTGCACGACGCCACGACACGACAGAGCACGACAGGGGAGGGGGCTTATCGATCGATGTGTCGACCGATGCAATTCCGGAATTACTCTGACTATTGCACCACAGGGTAGGTGACTGATCGATGCAATGCCAGAATAACTCCAACTATTGCACCATTGACCGAGTCACAAACCGTTTGATAAGTGTGGTCTGGGAGGCCGCCTTTCCTATTTGCGCAAGTCTGCCCGGGTGGGTCTTACTACAAAGTCGGAAAGACGGAGAATGGTATTGATGGTCGTGTCGTGGGGCCTTTTATACCCGGTCTATCGGCAATTACATCGGGTCGGTCCCGTGTTCTGTGACAGAAACACGAGAAGATACCCGGTGAATCAGTGATTACACCAAGTCGGTCTCGTGTTCTGTGACGAAAAGCACGAAAAACCCAATCGTTAACTGCCGATAGACGTACAATTTTCGGGATCAGTGCAAATGTCCATAATCCTCCACGCATATTACCCAAATCATAATTCAGATAACATGCGTGGAAAATACAAACACCTGCACTTATCGCGCACAGCGCATATATTATAATAATAAGATAACAAATTTTTCACGCAACGAAAACAATAATATAAAGAATATAAAATAAATATAAGAAAATAATAAGAGTATGCGTAAACAACAGCTATATAACTATTTATATTAGTATTTGTTTTAATCTTACTAGTAATAATGTCATAAATTGTTTTTCATTTAAATTTTGTCTTATTACCGGATTACTATAGTTCTTTAATTTTTTTTAGTAATTTATGATTTTAGCTTCTTTTTTTCTTTTATAATATTTGTTATTTTGTTTCTAAATTCAAGATAAAACTCTTTTAATTTTACGTTGAAAGAATGTTTTCTAACTGATGCGACCCCTATGTCTTATAGAGTTAATTATCGCAGTGCTAGCCCAAGTTTTTAATTTTTTGACTTAGGAGGAGAATGATATTTCGGATGAGGCATTGTTTTTTTAGATGATTAATTTTTCTGTAAAATATTGAGTTGACTTGTTTACATTACATTTTTAAATTTTGTTATTTCTGATCAATTATTATTTTGAATTAGATTGGTTAATATTATATGATCGGTTTTGAATATTTTTAAAGAATATGCTGTATTATTTCGATTATCTAATCAATTACCAATACTAAATATAATTAGATAGTGATCGTTAATATTTGAATGTACAATTATTGGTATTATATAAGGTGAGGACTTTAAGGTTATTAAAAATATATGATCTATACAATTGTTTGATGTAAATCTTGTGATTTTATTAATTAAGAAAGGGAAACCAAACGGTGCCATTACCAACAGATAATCATCCTTTATTTTTGATGATTTAAGCAGGTCAATATTTAAATCTCCTAGTTAAATGTTATACTTAGCTGTTTTTTAAATTAGAGTTAAGTAAATAGTATTATGAAATTTAAATCATTTAGAGCTACATTTAAAATACTATACTGAGTGATCTAAAAGTTGAATAAATCAAAGTCTATTTTTGATATTTTAAAGGTAATTTCTAGCTTAACAGCATTTGAGTAAATTTCGGTTACAAGAGTATTATTTAACGAATCTTTTAAGTAAACTACCACTACATTGTTTTAAATTTTGTTGTTTATAGTCGAGTAAGTTGTATAACCATTCATTAATAAGCTAGTCATTAAAACATTTTCGAACCTAGTCAAGCTTCCGTTAAGATTCCATATTAGCAATAACAATGTATAATTCATCAAAATGTTTTCTTAGACTACAGATATTTACAGTGAAATATTGATAACATGTTGTATGTACATTATTATGGTATTTAAATTATTGAAAACACATTCGATTAAATTTATCGCGTTTGTATTATAAAGTTTAAATTTACCTTTAGTGAAGTTATTCTTGAAATATGTAAGACATGAATGAGTTAAGAATATAGGCCTGATTAAACAACTTTTCTGATTTATGAGAAATCAGATGGTGATTAAAATTATTTAAAATTAAATGAAGCCAATGATGGTAAATTAATGAGTGATTAGTAAATAGATCGTGAGATCCAAATATGTTTACGTTGCGTGTAAATAAGACAATTAGGACCAATTTAGTATAATAATAATTAATAATTGTCGCGACATACACAGGCCCATACGGGCGAACTTTAAGGAGCGCGGGAAAATATATATTTATTGGGCGCCAACTTTAATTTTATATAGGTATCTACTTCCAAAGAAAAAATGGGTGTCTACGATTAATTGTTTTATTTACAAACTACAACCTGAAGATGTTAAGTATAGATCAAGATTTATTTTGCAAAATAATGTTTAATACTAAAAAGGCTAAGAAAATAAATTACTGTTAAAATTGCATCTTATTTATATTTTGTATAAAAACATAAATCGTTAGTTTTTTTTTAAACACTTGAAATAATACACAAAAAACTTTTATTTTAATAAGTGAGTGAATGTTGCATTTTTTTCATTTCCTTAGCCACCCGAAAATCATAGAAACACTTATTTTTCTTTTATAATTTATAGAAACTAAATATATCACAATACATGAATAATTTGTATTATAAAACAATATAATTTATAATGAAAATAATATATTATGCTCTAAAATTAAATCATTAAAACAGAAAAAACTAATATTAAATTATGTACTTCCTAGTGCATGCTTAACTTCTTTTTAATTAAGTTGAAATAATTAATGAGTTATGGAGAACGTTGCATTCAATTTTCGAAGTATTTTTACGAATTAAAAAATCGTAATAACATTTTTTGAAAAGCAAATTTACTTATACCATAAACATTCTACTTAAAACCATATTATATATACTTAAAATACACTATTAATTTCATTATTTTAATATATTGCTAAATCAAATAATCATAATTATCAATATTTCAGCGCTAAGTTAAAGATATTTTATATTTTCAAAAAATAACATTATTAACATAAATGTATAACACTTTTAAAGGAAATTTCGGCGCTCTCTGTGAATGGTACCCTAGACGACCACTTGAGTCACCTCACCTTCATACCAGACTATTATCTACTTTATAGTATTTAACTTCTAATTTTTAGCTTGGGCAGATCATTTTACTAAAATACAATTAGGAAGTTCAGGTAGGTACTAGGTACTACATTTTTCATATATTTTCATTAGTACACGGCAAAAATTACATATTTTATTAGCACAACCTCTTAAATAATTTTAAATATTCATACAGAAAGTAAATCGTATCTCGTATAACAACTACCGCGTCGATGCCCAATAATTCACGAACAAATGAGATGATATTATTTTCCATTATGATAAAATGGTATTATTAAAACAAAAATGAAAGATAAATCGAAATAAAAGCAATCATCAATATATCTACATGTCTAACATCGATTTCGTTATTCAAATTTTACAAGTCACATCTATGGTTCTATAATTTATAAATGATAACAGAACAATTAATTACATAAATGTGCCTACCCATGCATATAATGTTTACAAAACATATAATTTGTTTAAACACACATATAAAATAAGTACGCTTTAATAAATATTATAATAATTTAAAAATAGGGGGAGAGAGAAAATAATTGATTATGGGGCATACCGGAAAAACTCCCGGTATTTCGGCGGACCAATACGGTCCTGGACATAAATAAATCGATTGTAAAAGGTTGTGTATGTGATACATAAAATTAACTGTAGTTTTACAAAAAAAAATAAGTAAAATGATTAATATGATTAATAAAACTAATTAATATTCTTCTAGAACGCACGTTATTACGTTATAAACAAATTCTATGACAACCGTTAATCATTGTAATGTTTATACTTAATTTTAGTTCTTCACTAAAATTTTGCATTAAATTCTCTAACATCTTTTAAATTCCATTAAGTATTTCTTCAACAGCAGTTGGGCGGATATCACTGAGTTCCTTATCCATTAGAAATAACATTATTTTAGATTTCATTGCTTCCATTTCTTTAGTAATTATATGAAGACTATTTTCTAATAGATCTTTGGTACTTGTAATAACTTTTTTTGAACTGGTTAGACAAATGATTATTTATTCCAAGTGAATTGATATAGTTTTCGAGAAGAGAAGCTCTTTGAATGATAGAACATTTTTGACATCTCCAGATAGTATCAAGTTCTTTTAAAAAGTCCACATCATCCTTAGATAGTCTTAGACATCTGGCATGCCAAGTCAAGTTGCAATCATCGCACGTCATGGAAAGGGCGGTTCTTATGTTAACAGAACAACTATTGCAGGTGCGCGTCTTAAAATATTAAAAGAGAAAATAATTAATAACTTTTAATAATTACAATTGAATACGTACGAACTAAATTAGCGGTAAAAAAGGCAAAAAACGTAACGTTACACCACGACGGTCAATCGATAATGATTATATAGATAAATATTGATAAATATTATATTTGAAAACGTTTCAAATTTAACATTAATTTAAATAACGTGAAATGCTAAATTGTTCATAACGTTTAAATTTGTATATCGTTTAAATTATTTATAACCAAGGCTCGAAACTTTAGGCATTTGTATATTTGTTTAAAAAGTGCATATTTCAAATTCTTGTTTTATACAAATTTAATCTACATGACATATATTTCAAGTACAAACATTTTTGTCGCATAATTTTACATATTTCATTATGTTATTTTTTTGTACAAATTTGCATATTTTATGTTTAAGAACTTTTATATGCATATTTCATAGATTTAACCATTTTTTTTTTTTTTTTAACAAATTTATAATTCAACAAAAAAATATTAGATATATGACAACCAAAATCCTAAATTGTATACCGTTTGACAAAATAAATTAATTCATCAACGGCTATTTTTGTATTGCTCGCTTTCAATGTACTCAACAATAATATTATAAACTCTATACAAGGGCGCATTAAAGATTAATAAATGAGGAGGGGGGCAAAATTATTTTGCACCTTCGGTGTATTTTATAAATATCTATATGAAAGTATGAACTACTTAAAAATATTTCTTCGCTACGCTCGGTATTTCAGTTTGTCATTTCCATTTCATACAAATATTATAGCTACCTACATAAAATTCTTCTTTTTATACTAATTAGTAGGGCTAAGATTTACATGCAACAGTATGGTTTTTTTTTTGGAACTTCTGATTATTGCTTTTGTTAGTAATATCCCATGAATCACCTCATGATGAGATGAACAGTGGTGATTGTATCTTGTATATTTTGAACAAAATGCATATTACTACATATTTTGAATAAAATTAATGTTATTACATAAAAACGCGAAAAATATATGTTTTATAGTATATTTTGTAACTAGACGTTTTTATCATGTGACACTCAGTGACAGTATGTATCAGCGTTGTTTAAAAATAACTATATAAGAACATATGAAGTCAAACAGAAGATCGTTCAGTTTTAAAAATTTAAAACACTGTGTAATTTTTTTGTGTAATACATTTGAATAGCGTGAATAGGAAGGGGGGCTTGGAGGGCGTAGCTCTCTCCCAAATCACTCTCAAAACTCTCTCAAATAATTTGATACGAATTTATTTAGAATTTGCAATCATTCAATAAATTTTGAAATGTCTGTTTTAAAAAATATTTTGGGTGAAAACCTTAATTTAGAGAAAATTAAACAGCATTTGACATTATATGATAGTAAAATATTTCAAAATTGTTGCAAGATGTTTTAAGTAGTTGTTACTCTTACAACAAGTACAGCGACTTATGAGAGATCATTTTCTGCTATGCGACGTATACAAATATGGTAATGTAATTGTATAAATCAAGAAAGATTCAGCAATTTAAGTATTTTGAATATTGAAAATGAAATTTGTATCAATAACAACGAAGAAATATTAAATATTTTTAAAAAACTGAAATACGTATAAAATTACATTAAATATCCCTACCTATTTATTTAAATAAATAGATAATATTCAATTGTCTCACTTATTTTAACAATAAATTTATTGTTATGTTTTTGTAATGAAAAAAATCGGTTTATTTATAAACTTAGCCCAACCTATACAAAGAAAATATTTTTAAATTGGTAACATTATAATATTAATACTCATGTTATATGTGTTCTATGCATGATACTTAAGTCAGAATTGAAGAAATGCAGATATCCTTAAAACTATATTTTACAATCAGTGGTGGCTGATCAGTGGTAACCGTAAGGTAAGTGACTAATATAAAACACCAAAAAACCAAAACAGCACTACCATTATTTTTCGTTGATCTTGCTCCCGAAACTATAAGTAAGGAAATATTTAATATTACTTCCCTACTAAACACAAAAAATCAAAGTAGAAGAACTTCACAAGCACCGCGAAATTCCCCAATGCCTAAACTGTCAGATCTACGGCCACACAAGGAGCTACTGTTCTAATTCTCCTCGCTGTGTTAAATGTGGCGGGACTCATCCTACCGCAAACTGCACCAAATCACCTGACTTGCCAGCAAAATGCGCGCTCTGCAAGCTACAAAGGTTGTATTTTATACAAAGAGCTTCAACAGCGTCACCGCCAACCTTACAACTCAAGAAATAACAATCAACAGCAACAACCACCATCAACCAATCACCATTCGCAGTCCATCAACCAGCCAACACCACATCCATCGACACAAATTCCAAGAACTCAAACATCACTCATACACAGAAGCGGCAGCTACTAATACAGGTAACACGCTACCGCCAAACTTCCCCGACACCCAACAAACATCTAGCATTGATAATAATGTACTAACTAAATTTTTAAAAGACTTCAAATGCATAATAAGCCCACTTATCTCTCTCTTCACAACAGTCATGACCAATCTTTTAAATGTCAAACACAACATATAACTCATTTACCACAACTTTCTCACAATCTTCTCATGGGACGCAAATGGCCTAAAAAATCACAAAGACGAGTTCTTAATCACTCTACAAGAAAAAAGAATTGATATTGCATTAATATCTGAAATGCACTTTACAAACAACTACTCACTCAATCTACCAGGTGTCCGCTCATATCAGACTAACCACCTAGATGGAACTGCACATGCAGGTGCTGCTATTTATGTTAGATCATCACTTGCATCACATCAACTTACTAACTTTCAAACAGACTACATCCAGTCTTGCGCGGTATCCATATCAATTAATAGTATTCCCATCTCAATAGCAGCTATACACTGTCCTCCCAAACACGCCATACATTCAAATCAATTTGATCTTTATTTTCATACACTTGGCCATAACTTCATAGTTGGTGGCGATATAAATGCCAAACATATTCAATGGGGATGCCGCACCACAAATCCGAGAGAAAACTCACTCTTACAAAGTATCACTCACAATACCTTACGAGTCATCTCACCTCCCAACCCCACCTACTGGCCAACGTCTTCTAGAAAAAGACTGGATATTTATAACAAAAATCCCTAGCACGCTCTACTCCTCGATTATAAATCTCCACGCTCCATGCTCAGATCATTCCCCCAATCTACTCACAATAGATAGCCTTTGCCCAACCAATAAAATGCACCACCGTTACATTCTCAAATCAACTGGGAAAATTTTCAAAATTCAATCCTACAAAAAACTAGTCTTAAAATCCGGCTGAAAACCACAGCTGACATTGATGATGCGGTGAATCTCTTAACATCTAATATACAAACCTCAGCATGGGAATCAGCTCTACCATCGAAACCACACACATCCACCCTTCCTTTATATATACGTACCCTTATAGTACAAAAACGTCGCGCTCGCTGTTTATGGCAAAGAACTAAATACCCGGCTGATAAATGCCACTATAATGCACTCGCGCAAAATCTCAAACGCATCCTAGCAAATTATCGAAATGAATCTTACACTAAACACTTAAAATCACTTACGACAAAAGACGGTTCTCTCTGGAAGGCAACGAAACAACTTCTTCGCGTGCATAACCCTCCAGCTATCCTACGCGACGCCAGTGACAATTGGGTACACTCTGACATGGACAAAGTCAATATATTCGCAAACCACCTCGCTGACACATTCCAACCACATAATACCATCCTTCTACAGGAAAAAAAAATCAATGAAGTTGAGTCATTTCTTGACATATCGTTACAAATGTCTCTTCCTCCTAAACACTTCTCTCCAGCAGAGGTCAAATATACAATTTCTAAATTTCCCCGAAAAAAGTCTCCCAGATACGACCCAATAACAGCAGAAGTACTTTACCAGCTCCCCAAAAAAGTTGTCATACTTTTGACCTACATATATAATTCAATGCTCAGATTATCCTACTTCCCATTACTATAGAAGTATTCTTCTGTAATACTAATCCTGAAACCAATAAAACCTCCAGACTGTCCATCATCTTACAGATCAATAAGTTTGCTACCAATACATCAAAAGTTTTCGAAAAAATGCTTTTAAAAAGACTTATTAAAACCGTTGAAGAAACGACAGCTTTACCTGACTCACAATTTAGTTTTTATAGCAAACATTCCACCATCAATCAAATTCACAGAATAGTAGACAAGATATCTTTCTCCTTAAAGGAAAAACAATACTGTACAGGTGCTTTTCTTGACGTTTCCCAGGCGTTTGACCGCGTCTGGAACGCAGGTCTACTGTTCAAATTGAAGCTAACTACTATCTATCAGGATTCTGAAATCCTATCTAGAAGATCGCTTCTTCTCGGTACGTTACGGATCATCCACCTCCCCACCGAAACTAATCAACGCAGGAGTCCCTCAAGGTGCAGTCACTGCTCCTCTTTTATTTAACATTTTCATATCCGACCAACCAACAATACCCACTTCCCTTGTTGGTGATTTTGCCGATGATAAAGCAATAATAACCAACAATATCGACCCAATCACTGCCTCCCTTATCCAAGAACATCTTTCCCTCCTTGAACAATGGTATAAAAAATGGGGAGTAAAAATTAATGAATCTAAATCCATACGCTGTACCTTCACTCTTAGAAAGAAAAAATGTCCACCTATCATCCTTAATGAACAAATTCTACATGCCGCACCATGCATTCGCTACCTAGGCATCACCATCGATCAACGTCTCACCTGGGCTCCATATATACGTAACAAGCTCTTAACCTTAAACGATCGTTTTCGTCTTCTCCGTTCTCTCCCTACTTCTCATCATATACAATTAACCACTAAATTATTAATATACAAACTCTTCTTGAAATCAATTTGGATGTACGGAATCCAATTATGGGGCTTCGCAAAACCTATAAATGTCAACCGTATCCAACGTTTTCAGTCCAAAGTCCTCCGCGCTATAATCAAAGCACCCTTCACGTATCAAATCATACATTATATAATGACCTAGCCATCTCTCCTGTAAACGATGTAGCTAAGACCTTCTACGGACGTTTTAACTTCAACCTATAACACCACAAAAATTCTTTAGTCAAAGAACTTGCGTCTATAAATATACCCGGCAATCCACAAAAAAGGTTGAAAAGGCGGTGGTGTAGGGACCTATTAGTTTAGACCAATCTAACTCCTTTCGTTTTTCTTTCCATATCTACCTTTGTTATTTCTACTTATCTTTCCTTATAATATTTTTACTAACAATGTTTAACGTTTCTTTTTTTTTACATTTTTAACTGTAAAAGTGCCTTCACTGGAAGGTATCTTTAAATCCGTCTTTCACGTCATAGTTATCTAATCCATCAATATCACTTATTGTTCAAAATGTATGTAACAGATTGTGGAAATATAACTTAAGTAATAAGTAAAAAATAAAAATAAAAAGGTCGCTGAAGTATTCAAAACTCAAAGAGCAGGTAAGCATGATTCAAAATACCTCATCCACCAAATAAATTTATCAGGACTAATGTAATATTTTTAGGTTCTACTTTAGTTAAACTTTTCATTAATTTTAATAATTTATGATATATTTTTACTGTAAAGTATAACGAGTATTTTGATGGTTTTTTACGTAAATGTATGCATGTATTTGAGTACTTTAGAGCGCATAAAGTATCGAGCCTTATTTATAATGTTAAACACTCATTTAATTATACATTTAAATGTCCTATAACAGTAACCAATGAAAATTTTTTTGATTTAAGTAATGGTTTATAATACCATTGGTAATGAAATGTTAAAGGAAATATCTCTTACGAATTGTCCAAAATTGTTCTCCTTGGCCTGACCCGGTCCAAAAATTAAGTCTTGATCAGCCACTCCATTTATATTTCCTATAAAATGAGCAAATATGTTATAAATGTCAATATCAATAGGCTATGTGTTTAGAGCCTAGCTTTGTCAGGAAATTAAATCTTATTGTTCTGCAACTTCGATTATAACTTTTTCTATATGTTAAAAAAGCCAATAACTATAATCTGGTTTGGTTCACAAATATTTACACACTTATATTTTCCATTACTTCAATTGAAAGTTTTTAAATATTTTTTTGTAAATGTTTTTACATATTTCATTCATTCATCATTACTTCTCACACTATAACTAATTTCAGTGTTTGTGTCATTATTGGGAATTTTAATTTTGTCCTTGACTCATTTAAAGATAGTGTTACTTTTAGGTATTAATTGCTCTCTTTGATCGGACTAGTATTAACAAAACATGACGATAAAATAAATAATCAACCAAAAGTATATTATTTCTTTTTTTTATTTTTTGTGATAAAGTTTCAACTATCGAAGTAACGGATGTTTGAATATTCTTTACACAACATGAACATAAATTACATTTCTCAGTTACTGATTTACGTAATCGACCTAGATTTAACAAAAAATAATGACATAATAAATAATCAACTGAAAAAATATTACCACTTCTTGATAGATTTCCATTTATTTGCGATAAAGTTTCAAATGTAGAAGATGTGGGTGTTTGTAAATTATTTACAGAATATGAAGATGTAATAGTTTTCTCTGTTACTTTTTTGCTTGGTCGGCCTAGATTTAAAAATAAATAATGAAAAACTAAATAATCAACCAAAAATATATTACCTCTTTTTTTTAGATTTCCATTTCTTTGCGATAAAGTTTCAACTGTCGAAATAATGGGTGATTGAATACTATTTGCAGAATATAAAGAACTAATAGTTTTTTCAGTTACTTTTCTGCTTGGCCGGCCTAGATTTAACAATAAATAATAAAAAAAATAAATAATCAACTAGAAATATATTACTTCTTTTTGTTAGATTTCCATTTGTTTGTAATATAGTTTCAAATATCGAAGTATTAGGTGATTGAATATTATTTTCAGAATATGAAGATGGAATAGTTATATCAGTTACGGTTTTGCTTGGTCCACCTAGATATAACAAAAAATAATGAAAAACTGAATAATCAACTAAAAATATATTACCAAGACAGGCACTAAAAATATCACAATATTATCTTATTACGAGACAAATTATTTGTTGAAATCACTTTTAAGATGGTAAATAAATATAAAATATACTCAATGTTGTTATATTAACATCATAGATGAGTCGTATTCTGTGTCTGTATAACCTATACGTAAAATAATTTATCGCAGATAATTTGTGGTAAATCTATAGATCACAATATAGGTACTACAAATATATTTGAACCTAACGCAAACAAGGATACTTTCATTCAGGATGTCATTAATATGTTTGGAATAAAACAGAAATTTACAGTTCTTATTTACTGATACCGAATAATATACTAATTATATATTTAATTTCTATTTTTATATACTTATTAAAATTATTTATTTATTTATTTATTCATATGACAATTATTATATATTTATTTATTTATTCGTATGACAATTATTATATTAATACACTATATGCATACAAATAAAAATATAATGCATGTATAGGTATACATTTATATTGAAAAATAACATTAAATCTTTATTATCTTACATTCGAAAATTTTTATTTTACTTTATAATATTATCTTTGGGCATATGACTATTTATAATAATATATTTATAATACATTTATATCATTTATATAATCATTTAATTCTTTAAAACTGAACATATCAGTTGTTTTGAAAATTATTAGGAATATGCAACAAACTAATTGTTTCATTGCTTATAGCATATGGAAAAATGTATATCTAATAGATATCTATATGTTTCAATCTCTCGTATTGGTGATTTTTACTTACCTACAATACTTACAAAGTTTTAATGCTCAACAGATTTTGCAGCTCCTATCTTCATAGTTATACTTTTAGTGACTTTTGTTGCAATAAAATTATATAAATTTAGTTAAAATCCTTATGTAAAATGACTGATTTGGAAATATAGTCAAGATTGAACAACGTATTATTCATATTTTATAGTACAAGGAATACGATTCATGGACACTTCCCGTAAGACATTTCCCGTCAATATGTTTCCCGTCAATATTATATTATTTATAGTTCACGTCATTTGATCGGTAAATAATATCCGACGACAAAAAGATCAGCGACATTTGGTCCGGTGAAAAATATCCGGGGTAAAATATCCGATAATTTATTTTTTCCTAATAATTTAATTAGTTAATAAATTTAATAAATAATAATTTTATTTAATAATTATAATCATATTTAATAAAAATTTCAAGAAAATTATTTTCAAGCAAATTGGAGCAGTTTTAATACCTTAATTTTTGATTTTAATTACCTGATTCTTCTTCTGAAGTAGTGTGAGATCGGCTTTTGCATGCAAATTTTTTATAATCAGAGCAACGCCATACAATTTTATTTTCGTACTCTTCATGCTTGCTGTACAGAAAACCGTTATACACCAACATTTTTTTGCCTTTTTGGCTTTTAATAAATTTTAGTAGCATAATTCAAACTTATAAAAACCACGAGCAAAGCAATTTGTA